CCCCAAAACCCCAAAACCCCAAAACCCCAAAACCCCATGATGGATTATTAAAGGATTTTTATATGATTAGCAGAAATCTTTAATTATTATTAGGATCAATGGAGCAATCAAACAAAATACTGTCACTGATAAATGAAGTAGACAGTACCTTGGAGGACGAATCAAAGATGGTGAATCAGAGGGAGATTAGTATGAAAGTGAATTTCACTGATATATCAGCTGCTTAGAGCTACGTAGCAACTATGGCTCAGGCTAGCTTAAGGTGAGTTGCATTATTTAAACATTACAAATAAAAAAAATAATAATTAAGCTTTTAAGTGAATTTAATTGCTATTTTGATAGATGAAACGATGCAATTGCAAATCGAGTGCTAGAAAGAATGGAAAAAGAAGAAGTTGATAAGTCCGTTGAAGCATATCTGTGGCTTTCTAAGAAAGGATTGTTAACAAACATTGGTATGAATAAGAGATAAATTTATCATAAAAATAGGATAAAACAGAGATGGAATATACTATTTCGTAATATATGGATATGCTTATGAGAAAGAACAAGATAAACCGAAGATTGATAGAAATTTTAAACAGATAGCTAGTCATCTTGGAGATATGTAAACCTATTAAACTTGATAATAATCTCTAGTTTTTAATGGAAACTGATCTATGTACACAGCAACTTAGGAGGAACTAAGAAAGGAGCATTGCTAAAATTCAAGCAAATCTACGGAGAAATGACTGATTAGTAAAGATCAAATTTACAGCAGATATACCTCGTTTAACCTTCTCTATATATAAAGAGCAGATTACTAGTTGAGGGATGCATGCAGAAAACTATTAGAGATGCCTTTGGAAAGATGCAAAGTTTCAATAAGTAAAAATATGTAAGCAATCAATTTTTATAGACTTCCTAAATTTCTCCGAAAATTGATGATAGATGATAAGGATATAACAGTATCTGCAAGATTTTTAAAACAGTTACCTTTATAAATTCTGGATACTTATCAAAGAGAACTGAGTAGTTTACAGACTCCAGATCTAGAGTTATATAATTATACTGAATCTGTTATAACCAATACGTCAGATGCGTCGGAGCTAGAAGATCCAGTTTTCTAGAAAAAGAGTAGCAGCGTACTCAATGTCTCCAACTTTGATAAAGATCAGATAAAGAAAGGTATATGTTTAAGTCATGATACCATTGGAAAACATCTCAAAGCATTCTACAGAGCCCCTAATTCTGATTTACCTCAAATTTTCGTATACATTGACAAATATTTCTTAGAAAATCCAATGTATCTGGGCAATTCAAAGATTTTTAATAAATTAGATGCTCAAGAATGCTATGAGTTAGATTATCTAGAAACTCAGATTGTTTTAGGAAATTATTCTTACTTGCTAAAACTTAGTGATCCAAAGATTGTTATTACATTATTGAGGAATATTCTAAAATACATGGAAGAGCCACTGTGCACCTATTAGTACTTTCCCTTATTCAAAAAGATTTGTGAAAATCTAAGTAAGACTATGAATTTTGAAGAAATTATCGAATAAGTAAAAAATCTAATTCTTCTTTAAGACAATATATATCAAGAGACTTGGAAATTTTTAATAAAACTCTTGAAAAATTTAACCAATACTAAAGTCTTTACCAAGAAATAGCTGGCGTAAATATTTTCAGATGTAATATTTAAGGCCCCACAATTCTGGGCAAACGATATGATGTCTTGGAGATAGTTCTAAGATCTCTTAGCATTAATTATTAGCAAGAATGAAGTCATTTTCCCTCCAGATAATAAAAGCGTTATTGCTGAAAAAGTTTCATTACGATCAGATGTAGGAATGGAAGAGTATAGTCTTTGGGATCCAGATACACAAGATAAATTTAAAAGTATTATACTTGCTTGAATTAATTATTCATTTCACTCAGGAATCAACTATACACTAATTATATGAACTTTAGATTGCGATTAAGTTTAATTCTATCAAAAGTTTAATTATGTTCTAAATTGGTTATAAATTCTTCTAGCGGGGTTTTGGGGTTTTGGGGGAATTATCATAT